AAAATATATGATCATTAGGGACAGCCGAATTATTGGGATCTAAATTACAAGACTTAGTACTACTTGAAGCGAAATGAACAGTAGTTTTGCATATCGACTGAATGTGTCCTATCTTGCCACATTTAAAACATTCAGCATTACGACATGCACATGAATTACGAGAATCAAATTTGACACAGAATAAACACTTATCAAACTTGATCTCACCTTTTTGATTTGCTTTGTAATTCCTTGTTGAAATATCCTTCATCTTTACATGAGAATACGAATTACCATCAAAAGAATGCAAGTTTGATCGACCTTGAGATTGTATTTCATCATGACGACTAAGCAAAGTATTAGAAATTTTCATCGACTGGATATCAAATTCATTCACTGCCTCGTTGTTAATACATGCAGTTCTGGCATCTTGAAAGAAACAGTTCGGCATTCTTAACAGCTCTCTTTCCAAACCCAGTATGTTAATTCCTGTAATTAATCGATCTCTCAGTTGCACATGAAGTTCATCACTGGAACCACATTTGGAAGCTTGTTTCTGCAATTCAAGAGAAAATTCCCTAACATTTTGGTCATTCTGACCAATCGTCTTATGAAATTTCACCCTTTCACGACATTAAAAACTAGTGCACTTTACATGATCTAATAATAGTTGAATAAGGAAGTGAGATAGGTTTTTCTGGATATGCAAGAGTTTTTATTAAGCTGTATGCTTCTCTTCCGATGAATGTCAGGAAATGTGCCACAATCTTATCATCTTTAACATCTTTCTCGATCATGCTCCAGATTTCAAACCTTTCCAATAATCCTCAAAAGCTTCAGAAGTTGAATGAATATCTAACTGTTTCATCGCAGACCCCATCGCGACGCCAATATGATAATTAGAAGTATTTGAATTATAGTATTAACTAATAATACCAGAAATAACGTAATTGGATCAAGAACTACTAGATAAGCATGAACGAATGTACTGTATTTGGAATTCGAAATCATGTATTCAATATGTACAAAGGAGTCGTTAGTTCATACAAAAACCACAATTATTGTGGCCAAATATAAAGTAGTGGACTAGAAATCGCTTACAATGAAAGCACAGCAAAAGTCAGTTATACGTTTACAACACCCTCAACATTCAGCCTACCTGACCATCGTTTTGTGAAAGACTAATGAGCCATATTAACGATATTAAGCCTGTTGAACATTGACCAGTTTTCTTAAAATAGCAAATTAACAAGCATCTAGACACATGCGAATTCGTAATCGTACGTGTTGATTCCGTAAGACGTCCTTTACAACACATTTGTGAAGTAGTGGAGACGTAAGCCAAATACTTCACAATCAGATATAAAAAAAGCAGTTCAACAGACAGGATTGATTTCGATAATGTAATAATAAGACGAAGATTATCAGAACTATGTAATGAAACATTAGAGCAATACATTTAGAAGAATCTGAACACATATATCCTTGTTAAGAACATTTATGTATAAAAATAAAACCTTAATTAGATTGGAAATGGGGGTAAGAAGAGACAAGGATAATAATCATTATGTGAACACACAAGTACTCAGGATGATGATTCAATATTACCAGGGTAGGCTTAAGGTGGGAACAAACTGTTTTTGAATACACAAAGGGGGTATGAATTTTCGTATGGCTAGAGCTTCAGTAACCCTTAGTATACGCCCTTTTACACTTTTATACAACACCACAAAAGCCGAGTTAAGATCAATCTTATGGCCTGTTTCGGTTATATGTTTAGCAAAAGACGATGATGGATGCTTATCCTCTACTCTTATTGGGTCACTTGATTCTATTTGTTTCTGCAACCAATTCGGTACATGTTCACACACCCTAATTTTGAGATTACGATTGCTCCTCCCTATGTATGTGTGACCACACACACTCACATTAAGGTTGGTAAACACAGCGAGATGTGACACAATCGTTTGGATGAAGCATGCGCCTTGTTCTTTCTTTGATAATGACCTTTGCTATGCAATACGTCTTGTTTTTATAAAAGGCTATTTGAATCACCTCTAAATGGTAAGGTGATGTAGACAGACCTTTTCTACGAAGGCTACAGTAGGTCTAACTGTATCATGACAGGAATAAACCTGCTTTTGTAATCTGAAGAACATGACACCCGAAAGTCGTCTTAAGACAACAGCGATTGCACAAAACAACTTCCCACGTCTACAATAATTTTTCACTTACTTCTGAGAGATAAACAACCCATACAATCGATTATGCTAATCTTACAGCTCCCATAAATTTAGTTCATAATTCTGCAACAAAAGCTACTCGTAAAGGAAGACAGGTACACATTCCAAAACGTCATGCTGAATGGGTTACTTAATCTCTCTTCAGTTATTTTCTGTGATGCGGGTAAATACCAACGTATTAACGTAGTTGTTAATAACATTATTTTGTAAATAAATATGACTGTTCTTCAACGATTCAGGACAGAGCTTTGATGATGTAATCAGAACATAGACTCTGTGGCAACATTGAAAAGATGGAATCATTGCAATCTTCATGTGCTTTATCCCAAGTTTTGAAAAAGCATCGCAGGTTTGGTAGTGTCAACGAGTTAGCAAAGGTCATTAAGAACAGGTCTTCATACTTATAGAATCATGAATAAGAAGCAAACCGTAAGAAAATTTTGAGTAATAATTATTTTCCATTAACCCAATAATCAGGAAATGTGATTAGAATAACACAAAAACTGAAGAATTACAATCGATTTCTGAATGAAATATGATTCCCATTACACTGTTATACAAACAGAATCAAATAAATATGATTTTCGTAATACTTTCGTCGCAATTTTTTGAACATTTGAATTCAATTGATGATAATACTTGAACTAGGCTTTGAAAAGTACTGTTTTTGCTTACATATATTACTCTATTGTTATCTATAATTTGAAAGACAACAAGTCAATTATAAAACCTTCAGTTTTGTCATGAGTGGCATTTCTTTGTCTTAGCAAGCCACTTATTCAATCCTGTCAATCTCTTGAAATGTCTAGAGGGGATTTCATACACCAAAACGATCATATTTTACCAATCTGAAAATATCAGACGGCCTTATCAGAAAGCTGTAAATTTATACGAACCGCTGTCCCAACCACTGCAAATTAAAAGCAGTTGAGTGCATTCACTTAACTGTTATGTTCTGAAATCTGTATATAGTCAGATAACCTATGAAATTTTTAACAAAGTATATCTTTATTTACTAATGTTCTACTTGTAAATATTGTATACTGTATGTACACTAAATATTTATATAAACAATAAATAGTGGTATCTTTATTATGAAATCATGAAAAGATCTATTAACTTTGTAACTAAATTTCGTATTTGTCGAGAAAAAAAATAATTGTATGGTTACGTAAATATTAATTGTAATCGAATCTACTATTTGTTCTGTATACTGGAAATAACGGAAAACATGAATGAAGAACGAATTTGTGAATACAAAATTTTTCCCACCTAAGTAGATGGCACTTCAAATTTTATCTTTTGGACATGTTTCAGTATTTGAATCAACAATTATTCGATAGTTAGAAAGTAAACATTTTCATTCTCGGTACTATTTTATTACAGAATATTCATAGAGGAAATTACAATGTCTATCGAACTGTTGAGGCGAACAGATAACGGGCAAGATAAATAAACACAATGAAACAAAGTCAGTAGTTCATGTATATAGCACTAATTAATGTACAACCACAAGCAGACTTAAACATAGAAAGCTCAATGTAAATCAATTAAAACATGAAAATATGTAGGTGAACACGAAAACACAATTTTTGCTCTAGTATTTATGAAAACAATGAGCATATGCAAAAGATATATATGCACTTAGCATTATGATACGCTTGAAATAGTCACATAAATATATCAAGTACAATTAACCGTACTGTTGTCAAAAATAACTTGTTCACTAGGTGCGTGAGTACGAGACACTCCCAATGTGAGGGCCGGTGATACCAGGCAGCTGCCCGAATCGAAGTAGACGGAGTCGTACTCGAGAATACGACTTCATGGCTGCAAGTCGAACACCTTAACCATTAAAAGCCATCACTGTATTAGAATGAATATCAAGGTAATGGTAACTTAATCCATAGAAGTTTTTCCTATAAATATAAATATATTTATCGTATAATTATTAAATAATTGGAGTATTATATTTTTATATTCCCGTTATTGTGAGTTTTCGTTGGACCAGTTGACTATCACTACAAGTTTAGTCATTCTTCAATTACTGTTAATTCATTGGAGTTCCCTAGCATGGATCCCAGTTTCATCTCGGTAGCTAAATGTCACATTTTCGAAAAAAAAGTACATTTGTTTTGTCTCCGCGTGGTCGCATTGCCAATTATAAGAACAGATAATTATTGTCCCTGCTTATTGGTGAATTCACTTTGTCTGTAGGACCAACCTACTTTCTCAACGATACAGCGGTCAGTCAACTGAGACTTCAATATCTACTAGTCCTCGGACTCATTCCAACTGTGTCTAATCAGAAGTCAATGTTAGCAAACACTTATCTTTATATTTTACAGTTATCCTTATGACTCAACGTTCATACAATAGAACACATCAGAATGAATGGCGAATTTCATACATATTAATTCTCTTTATTATCTTCCTCTTTTTATAAATGGGAAACTACAATATGAGCATAATTACGCCAAAAGTGAGAGAAAAACTAAGTGATAAATCAGTATATAATTACCAATACAGTAGAACAAAAATTTATACACCAAACAAAAGCTGGCAAATAGGGCAATAAAAGAATATAGCAATCCAAGTTTATATTAATTATGCATTTAAAATGTAACAATAATTCTTTATAAGACAGTTCCAAAAGCTGCGAATTTCACAACATTTACCTCGTTTTAACACATATGACGTGAAAAACACACAAATCCAGAACAATTCTTTGTTCGCTTGCATTATAAGCGTCCACTTCCTTGATTACAACTTAATGTATTATTTACTATCCTCACAAGTAGTAGCTTCGGTTTGTTTCTCACTCAATTCCTGGAGTCGATTACTTAGCTTTTCTGAAAAGCTATGGCGAAATAATGGGCTTCGAACAGATAACAGAGCATAGATTGTTTCATAATAATCTTCATAGTCTACAGAGTGTACATCAGAATAGGAATCATCAACTGGCTGTTTTCTGACTTCATCATAACTGAATATTTTATGAAGAAAATTGAGACGAAAATAAACATGTTCGGAAATTTTTATAAAGTTAATTCTACTCAATAAATACTGAGATTTATCATTCATTCTAATTGTTCTCTACGTTGTAAGACTAAATCTTTTAAGACAAATAGAACTTTATTTTATGAACACCGAATCGGTCAAGAGTTGTTTCTAATAAAGATGGTCAAATTAGACTAAAGACTACTGTTTTCTTAAAAAAGGAGGAGCTATTGCATAAACAAAATGAACATTCAAATCTCATCAGTATGGATATTTTAGTTTTTCGGATCTAATTTTATCTAAATAACCTAGTGGTATAGTTATAAACTAATACGTGATTTATATCATGTCAATACCCATTTCATTTACCTGCATTTTTAAACTAGTTATGACCAAAATGGAGCTGGGTTTTGAATTTCAAACAGAATGATATCAATCATCCGAAAGCACCAATTAAGTGAAATAATATTGCGGTTTGATCAGACACGCTCAAATCACTCATAAATTAATTATCCCCAAATCGATAATGCATCAAACAATCAAGTTAACTATGTAAAAAATCTATCTACATATTGCAACTAATATGTGTTAAGTAATAACAAACAGGATATGTCAAAACAGTATCTTACAAAGGGATAAGATATTAGCTTACAGTTAGTCTCAAACATATATATTCGAAGGGTAAAAAAGCACTAGTATTTGTTTCGCTATTTTAAAATTGCTTGTATTATCTATGCCTCTGTACTTATATAACATATAAAGTGGAAGGGCTCTTACCTAAGGACACATATTCTCTATTCATCAGGTTTTAGAACACAGAAATGTTTATCGGCGTCCAAGAATTATAGTTTTCTTGACTTAAAAGTTGCATTTGACCCTGTAGACAGAGAGGTTCTTTGACATTGTCTGTCATTCAAAGGCGTACCTCAGAAGTACATAAACTTTGTGAAGGCTATTTCTTGAACACTACCAGTCTAATCAGAGCTTATGGAAAACTGTCTTCTGATTTTGCAACCTCAAGTGGTGCCCCGCAAAGCTGTCCGCTATTTCTGTTTAATTTCGTCATAGACCTGCTGCCGGAAACAACGTTCTCGCCGTCTGAATTTACAGGAATTGATCTCTTACCAGGACGTCCACTTATCGACTTACAATACTCAGACGACATAGGCCTATTCGGTGAAGACGCTGACAAAACACAGAACGCTTTTTAGCACTAAGCAACAATGTCAGAACGTTTGGAATGCATTTCTCTCCTTCAGAATGTAAGTCGTTGCTTCAGAACTGGCCTGCGTCAACACCTGAACTAAGATTAGGGGGTGAAGTAGTCGAACGCGTTGACAACTTCACTTATCTTGGAAGTCTGATCAGCCCTAATGGGTTAGTATCTGACGAAATATCTGCACAGATTCAAAAAGCTAGTTTGCCCTTTGCCAACTTACGTCACCTAATGCGAACGCGAGATATCCGTCTATCAATTAAAGGACGAGTATACTGCGCGGCAGTTCGTTCCGTTCTACTATACGGCTGCGAAACGTGGTCATTAAGAGTAGAAGATATTCTTAAGCTAATAGTATTTGATCACAGATGCCTTCGAAATATTGCTCGCATCTGCTGGGATCACCGGGTAAGTAATAGTGAGGTTAGACGCAGAGTATTAGGGAATGGTGGTAAGTCAGTTGATGAGGTTGTGAATTTTCATCGACTGAGATGGTTGCACTACGTTTTATGCATGCCCGACCACCGATTGTCACGATGCGCAGTTCTGACTAGTGTTGGAGACAGATGGGAGAAGTTAGGGGCGACCACAGCCAAACGTGTCATCAGTCCATAAAGTCACTAACTTCTGGTCTGAGCCATGTTGGTAGATGCAGACTACCTGGTTGGGGTGCGCATGACTATCGTAACCAATGGTTGGAGACTCTTGGTGACATGGCTCAGAATCGATCACGATGGCGTAGGTGTATACACTCTTTGTTTTTCCTCAAACCCTGAGATAAAAATAGGCTTATGCCCTTTCTATGAACTAATTCCTTCTTCCTATATTATATCCTTATACAGAATCTTTCCTTTTATACTTTACTACCATTGAAGTAACTGTTTCTATGAAGTTTGTACTCATCTTGTTGTTCTAATGAGGCATGGGGTCTTGGACCGATGCATGTATGTGCCTGGTCCTACGTTGTACCTGACTGCTTTAAGGATATGCATGGTTAATCAATCAATTTTGGGTAACATAGGGCCTGAATTAAAGGTAGATCAATTCAAATTGTCATAGGTCACAACAACACAAAGACAGAAAAAAACCGAACAAGAGAGAAAGTATAACAGAATGATAACAAATAATATTGAATGTAGTGAAATTCTAGTAAAAAAAACATAGTTAAAAAGGAAAAAGTGGAATGGAAGAGTGGCATGTGTGAAATAACACTGAACTCAATAGTTGGACGATACTGAATAAATGTAATTGTCTAATTATGGTCAATTTCGAATAATGTCACAATAAAATACATTCACAATCTTAGAGAAATTCGTACTATTTCTAGAATTCCATATTATGCACTTAAACAGAGTGGGTCAAGATATAATCAATGAGCCATTACAGACTCGATAAATACTAGTGTAAATGTATTCCTTGCTCTGAAGTATTTTTATGTAAGACTTTATAAAGAATCAAGTAGTGAACAAATAGCTATTTGGTTAGTGATCCAAATCTATGTTGAATGACGCCAATTCAAATGTCCAAGAAATAAACTTCATAATAATCGGATTAAACAACGGTTCTAACGCTCATTATGAGATGAACATTAAAATGTTTATATAACACAAGTGTAGGTACATCTATCTGAAGCACCAGGTAGAAAGTAATATGGGTCCTGGATTTCAATGTTAATTATTAACCAAATTGAACATTACCAGAAAATAATACTTTGACTCCGGAAAACTAGTGAAATTCGAGAAAGTTTAATTAATAGTTCGTTTTACTAAGACAGGTCCATGACAATAGAGAATTCTTAAAAATGTCAACATATACTATATTCAGCAAAAACAAACTATCCCCTTTTCGTAATGGAATGCAACAGGTTGCAGTGATGTTACATCTCAACCAAACAGTAAAATAATTTGACTCTGGCTACTTAGAACTACAAAATGAGAAACGTTTCGTGAGTGTTTATCAGGAGTCCATGATACTCTGAAACCACCACTGTTGTCAGTCTACTTCTATTGATTGTGTTTCAGGAGTACATATAAATGCTGCGTGTAGTGCTTGAATTAATGAAGATGATCAGTTAAACTGCCAGTAAAGAAATAAATATATTACGGAATAGAACTAAATCGAATATCTAATAATTTGGCACTTATTACATTCATAATATCTACAAATGAAGTCAAACAATATAATCGGAAGAAGAATAGTTATTTTGGTACTATCCTGATGTGAATAAACTGCAGAAACTTTTAATCACTTTAATATACCATATACTAATACAACCATGTGCCCACTAGGATGTAACTTCTGGAGTTCTGGTAGGAAGCTGTGATCGGTAGTGCTCAACCCGTGTTGGGTTTGAGACAGTAATCTAGTACAGATAGTGGATGTGAAGGGTTGAGTAAGATCACAGATTGAAGTTAGACATTGGCGTTGGATGACGGCTCATTGGTTTAAAGGTTAAGCGGTCGTGCGTAAGACCGGAAGTCCCGGGTCCAGACTGTTATATCCGAGCAAAGATTAAATCACGAGTAATTTCTGAGACATTAATTGACTAATATTATCTATATATTCTTACGTTATAACTATTCATTATTTAGGTTATGTATATTTATATTCCCCTTATCATAAGCTTCACTTTGACCTATAATTTATCACTGCACGATTTACTGTCCCTAAATTATGCTCAGTTTATTAATCACTGTCTCCCACATTCACAGCCACTTTTTGGCTTATTTGTGTACATATGTTATTTTCTATTTTATGGTACGTTGTGGTCTGCCTGATTGATATATAAACCGAGTATGTCTGAAATAAATGATTTGGTTCGATTTTGGTTGATTCGGAAGCTGCTTTTGTGTTCTGGACTTAAGAGGACGGGTTAGAAGGACGTAGGACCCAATAGGACGCTAGACTGCTCAGACCGGTTGAACGTCATTGGTCTTGTCATAGTGCGAATATTCGTATAAGCCGTATTCTGATTGGTGTATAAGTCACGTGATCGTAAGCCGGACATCAAAATCATAACACAGACCCTGAATGCAGGATCACGGATGTGGACTGCTGAAGAAACAGCCACCCACTACTTTCAGGTTTTCAATCGTGATATAGCTAACATCGACTCATGAGTTCAACTGTGAAAAAACTCGACGAAACGCCTTAGTCGGAATAAAAGATAAGATACCGTTTACATCCACACAGATTAGGTTGTGTCAAATGCGATGTGTTCTATATTAGAGAGTCTTGCCATGAGAATTCGACTCGTGCCAAGGAAGACGTAAGTTACACAAAAAGACCTAACAATCCTGTAAGATTGGATAATCTACCAATCAAATCAGCCATAGCAGTATGTGCTATTTTTAATAATCAAAATAATTCAGAATGGTCTTTCTAACTAAAGAGAGGCAATTAGCCGAAGCGTCTCACATAATGCTAGATCACTCTGCCCTCAATAGGAAAAAAGGATTATCTATTCATTCAAACTGGGTTGTTTATCCAATCAATTACAACCGACTCTTTTCATTTTCTACACAATCTACACACACACACTTAAAGTAAACTCCGCTGTCTCACATTAAGAATTAAATTTGTGTTAATTTATTTCAGTTACTTATTTACCTTTACTCTGAAGAAATGAGTTACATTAAGTCACAAAACATCAGAAATACAATTTTCTACTCTTTGGGATATCAGCAAAATATATATTTATTATTATTAACTTTCTACGCAATGCTAAATTTATTTGAAACGATCGAGTCCAACTTTAGAATTGATACCCA